ATAATTTAATCCTAATAATATATAATATAATTAAAAATTAAAATATTAATTGTGTATAAAATTGCTCTTCTGAAAAATGGAAAAACGATCGCTCGTGAATTTATCGGTGATAATTGGACAACTCTGTTGGCACGTGGCGCGTTTAATGACATTTATATAATAGAGATCACGTGCATGTGTGTACATTTGAAGCCGCAAGCTATGCGATTCACCGAGCGCGTGTATAATAAACTAAAAAAAAAGTTTTATTAACCAGACAGAGCTTTTATTAATAATTAATCAAGTTTTTATAAATTATAATTACGGCTTGTCACTTTTTCACAATAATTTTCCATTATGAATAAGTTGTACAAGTTGCACACACAATAATGTATGTAATGTTTGTGTGTAACACAATGTGTTTTTATGATACATAACAATAACAAAAATATTTAAATGTAAATATACTTTTATTAAATTGACACGAAAAGCAATAAAAAATATTTAATAACGAATGTTACATTGACACATTTTTACGTTGCGTACTATCCTTGTTAAAACGTCAAAACGTGCAAAGCAGAATGATGTCGACCAGATTTTCGTGAATTTAAAAACTTGTTCCGATATAATTCACTCGAATTTACGATCGCAATAGGATCGCTTATCTCGTTCTCGATGTCTCAGCTGAAGCAATAATCGAAATAAAAATGTCGACCTTCATATCGTTGAACGTGTGGGCGAATCTCGTTTGTCGACAGTGCGCGTGGTAATAAAATCGGCTTTCTGTTTGCAAAAAAAAAAAAAAGAAAAAATACACATCCTTCCGTATTTCCGTATCATCGAACTTTTTCCACCATTGCAACAAACTGTGATGAACGATGTTTCGAATTAACGCATCGATGATTCATTTGTGTTTTTGATCCCACGACCAGGCATGCGTATTTACGGTCGCAATACCCTACAAATTGTAAAGGAGTTAGTTACCGCAAATTTTTTCAGAAATTACGAAACATCCCTTAAAAGCTATTAAAAGATAGAAGCTTTTTTATGAAATTTCTAAAGTTTAAAAAAGTCACGTAAAATGTTATAAACATATTCCGGAGTCTAACAAATGTTCTTAACAATTCTTAACATTCTACTTTAGTTCTTTTTCAGCGTAACTTAAAGTAAAGCAAAGTTTATTTGTTATTTAGAACAGTCTTAAGATTATTATTTCAATTATTTATTTCTGAGTTATTTACTAATAATTTTTTCTTGCAATTAAACTCGCAACTGTTTTATAAGGAAAAAAGAGTGGGGATTTTTTTTTAAATAGTGTGAGTTCTCTCTCTTAAATTATTTTATTACAAAAATAATTTCATAAATTAGCAAAAATTTTTTAAACGATTACATTAGAGTTACTTCTGTATCTGTTAAATCTCGAAAGTACACAAATATTTTCTGAATGCACAACTTTTTAAGCTTTTCTACGCAGAAATTTGTATTGGATCTTTAAATATTATTTCATCCTACATAACTCATTCGATTTTCCACCAGACGTCAGAACCTTCAGCTTTTAACATCCGCTCTGCCAAGGATGGCCGGGGTAAAATTGTCTTTTTATGTTCATTTTTGTCCCTTTCCAAATTTAGTTTCAATAAAATATAAAATATTCGCAGCGAAAGCATTTCTCTTTAATATTTATGTATTTACTCTTGCGATCGCTCATGTTTTTTTTTTATACATCTCAATCATTTCTTGTAAAACCTTTCTTAAAGTCTTTTTAAGGAATTCTTCTTCAAGGACCTTCTTCAAGAATACGCCTGCGAAATTGCAGAGTCATTTTTTCTAGATTAAGATTTAGATCTCTTCGTCTTTGCTTTTCAGATGTACGTAGAAGTAATATTACGTAAAGTATAATATAATAATATATTACAAAATAAAAAAAAAAGAAAGAAAGAGAAAACGATATCTTCTCCTAACATGATATTTTTATGCTCCCATTGTATTCGATCGACTAAATATCGACTAATTATTACAGATTACAAAACTGTAATAATTATTCATCATTATAGCATTAATTGTAAGAAGCTTTATTAATCTCATTCGCATTCACAAACATCTATAAGGTCAATTGAATTCTGTAAAATCTTCACAATTGATTTTTCTGAATTTTTCATGGGAATTCCTCTAAAAACTTTAAATAGATCTTATATCGCTTCCATCTAATATAAAAGATAATGATTATGCAACAAAACTTATTCATGGAATATACACAAGTTGAACGAAAATGTGAAAGTCCAAAATATCTCGCAATATGCTGTTCACTATTTAAGAAAAATAAAACACGTGAAAGATTCAATTGCATTTTGTCTTGTAATTGTGCATCTAATTCAATTTATTTAACAAATTTTACATGAAAGTATGCTTTAAAAATTTGAGAAAGAAACTCGCTACATCAAAAAGCGCTACATAAAAGCAGAAGTTATTCATGAACTACATTTAATTATCATTTTAATGCAACATATATGGCAATTGTGTACAACTGCAATCTTGACTTAAACTTCGGAATATTTAAAAGGAAAGTATCTTTTAATTAAAACTTATCTTTTATCATTAATTAAAAGATATAAAAACGGAGTATAAAAATCATATGCAGTATAAAAATATATTTGATGTTACGAGAGAATTCTACTTGAATATTTGGAAATCAAGATTATCTGAAATTGTAAGGAAAAACCTATTTGCAATTAGATTTGTCTTGACAAAATTAAACTGCTTCGACGATCGTCGCATTTTCCAAATTTAATCGGCCACTCTATTTAATAAAAAGTTTCTTCTTTTCATCTATACTTGACATGTATTACGCAAAAATTTCTTTACTAGACTTTAATTGTCGGAAACTTGAAAGATTTTGTAATATTTCATGATTATTTAATTTTTAACTTCATATTTTTACGCGCTACAATGATATTCTAGAAAAAAGCTAAAATCAAGTTAGAATCGGTATTTCGATTTTCCCAATTTCTAAAGTCTTTTAATTGTCTTATTTCTTGAAAACTGTTATTGAATGCTCCAGCAGTGTGGAGCAGCAATGAAATAAAAGTTCATTTTCTTAGTAAGTTTCATTACACAGTAATGAAATCGCAAAGGTGACTCGAAGTAGCACTAAATGAAGGCGAAATGAAGGCGAATGGTCTCTGCGATGTTACTTGTCTATATATTTTCCTCGATACATTACGGGAATCATGAAATGAAGTGGATTTGTTCTCATCTCATTCTGGAAAATAGCTAACTCCTTATTAACTCTACAAGAAATCACTTACAATTTTGAAATTAACAATAACGACGCACATATACATATTTTACAACTGTTGTAATCTGAAACGGAAAAAATATTTTCAATAGATATTCTTAATTAGAATATATGCTAATTTTATTTTATAAAAATTATTTCGTTTTGTACTTTATCTCGCACGTGAAGAATCAGTAAAATCGTTTTACTCTCTGCCTCTCACTGGTATTTAACTCAATAGAACGTCATTATTGTCTTTACAGTTGCGGTGGTGGTGGCCTTTTTCATCTGCTGGGCGCCGTTTCACGCTCAAAGGCTGCTAGCTGTGTACGCTCAGAGCAGCTCGTCTGAACCGGAAGATACCATGGTCATAGTCTACACCACGCTCACGTACGTGTCGGGAGTGTTCTACTATTTATCTACCACAGTGAATCCTCTCCTCTACAATATCATGTCTAACAAGTTCAGAGAGGCTTTCAAGGTGAGTCGTTTCTGGAGAACTTTAATCATTCTTTATAGCTTTATTTCTCGCTGGCAATTTCTACATGAACTGCTTTATAATTAAATACTTACATACTTGCAAAAAATAAACGAATATATTTTATATAGCATTTAAAAAATATTTTGTCATATGTAGTGTAATATATTTGATATTAAATATAATTACTTTTTATTATGTTCTCAATACTTTTTAAGACTTTTTGCATCCTCCATATTTCTACATAATAAATATATTGCATAATATACAAGTTCTAACTACGAATTTTGTTTTCTCGAACGTTATCGACAAGCATCAGTTAAGATCAGAATAAAATTACACAAAAATAAAAAATCTTTTATAATTTTACTTTTCATCTTTTCTTCCAGTCGATGCTGCCCAAGTATTGCATCAGGAAGTTCTCGTCTCACAAGGTCATCCGTCGACAACCAACTTATAGCAGTTTGTCGCGGTATCAGAGGTCAATAAGGCATCGATTCGATGATGCTCAACACTCGCCCTCGGTATCCATCAGCGACGAACAGCAACGATTAACGCATATCGCACTGGCGAACACGAATTTCTGCGAGCCAAATGGACTCGTAAAGTCACAGAACGAGCGAGAGGGACAGCCTGCGATTAAAGAAATCGTAGGCTGCCAAGATTATACCAGAAGAGTGTCCAGGGACTCCGATTGCAGCCAACTTACCATGATGACAACATTGAGCAAGCAAGGCTTGAACAGTGAGGGCAACAATAACACTAACGAGTGTCTCTTGAGGATCCAGAGATCGCCGAAAGCTGTCACTTTAGGTAGTATCTGTTTATCCTTGCCTCCGTTATATTAAAAATTAATCTTATATTTAATCAACGATGGCTAAATCAATTTCTTCGAAATTTCTTAAATTTACTGAATTAATTGAAAAATTCTTTTCGAAAGAAAGATGTCTACATGATGCGTTATACATATGTATGCATATCTAAAATATTATTTGCGAACATATAAATAATATTTAAAATACTTTTATTTTATTAAAATACGTATATTTTAAAAAATATGATATAATATATACATATTAAAAACTTCAAATAAGTATAAATTACATATTACTGTTGAAGCGCACGCTTATCATTTTGAAATTAATAAGCAGATTTTTGTCAACACATACACACACATTTTGTAATTAAAGTACATCCGCAAATATGAAACTATATAAAAAGCTACGAAAAATTTATAAGTTATAAGTTACAAAACATATTATGTTATAATGTAAAATATTTTGTTATAACTTTTTATTTTTAAATACATATATTATAATCTTTATACGCACATATATTCTTTTATGATCAGAACATCATTTAAGAGCAAATTTATGTCAAAATAAAACGTAAAAAATTATATTTATACTAAATGTATATGCACAAAAAACAGAAACTGTTTTTTATTTTATTTTTTTTTTTGCTAAAATTTCCTAACTCTTATTTGTATAAATCCGGCAGAACATGAAAAATATTCCTATCACTTTGGTATTTCTAACAGGAATTCTCACGGAGAGACTGGGCATTGGTACAAAAGGATTCTTCGCGCTGCATCGGAAGAATTTGTTGACTAGTCCGATGAAACCAAAATTGGAAACCGCTATTGCGATGCGACCACGATTTCAGAGTCATCCGAGCATTGAGAGCGCCAATACGATGAGCAACTCCAGTCTGCAGGACTTTGACGAGACCGAATTCACCGAAACGGAGTCGTCGCCTTATACACACACACATACACACACATGGGCGAGTTAAATTTCGAACTCGTCACTTGATGTTCATTTATCTCGACAGAATGTCGTCTCTCGAATTAGACGCCGAGCTCAAATCAAATAACGCTCTTTGGTTGTGGAAACCGCGGCGCAGGTTTGTACAAACTTCTAATTCAAGAGAAGGTCACAATCAAGGCAAATCTCGATGCAACACAGATTTAGCTACGTTCTAAACAGTTGCATTATCGAGATAATCAGCGGAACTTACATCAAAGATGAGAGAGTATCGCAAAGAATTATTGTAAAAGAAGAAAAAAGGAACTGATCCAATCATTACGATCACATAAAAATATACAAAATATGTGGAAATTAAAACGATAATGTAAATAAAAGACATTAAAATCATCGCTTGTGGTTTGTGGACCTGAAAGGAACGCATAAGCGCTTATGCGTGTTGCTTTACGCAAAGAACCGAGCCGGAAATTATAACACGAATACAAGATGTAAAGCATGCGTGAATGTTTAATATCTAAAGTGCGAATATTATACTTCCCTGTTCTATAGTACGGCTGTTAATAACGCTTCTCTGCAAACACGAGAGAGAATTTGCAGATGCAATTTTAGCGTTCCTAAGACTATATATACTATATAGTAAAATGTTATATTCTCGTTAATAAGATTCTTATTAATAAGAATGTTATTGTATAAAGAGAACGTTCTGTCAAGACTGGCATGTCAATGCTAGCTTCTTATATTTCCTGTCTGTCGTCGATATTTATGTATTTTGTGATAAAGCGGATTGTACAACGGCTTTATCGCAAAGACTTGCCCGAAAAAAAATATTATATATATATGGACATATTTTATATATAATTATATTTAAAATATGTCAATTTTTTATATAAATATATATAATTTTATATAATTATATATAATTTCATATAATTATATATAATTATATATGAAACATTTTTTCCTGGATGTACATAACGTACAGCCTGCACAACTTATTTATCTCAAGATAGAAAACTTGTACAAAATCGGAGTTGCTGCAAGTAAATGTGCAAGATATGCACTCCATAAAGGCGCATTAATAACCGTTAAATTCAATTTTAATTATCGATTCTCTATTTTTATAACATTAATATGCTCGCTTCTGTCAGATTTAATTTCTTCTAAAATGTATACAATGTACATCAATTTAAAGAAACTATCACAAAATCTGAATCATTGATCGGATCGGATAGTTATTTATTTCCCGATGAAACTAAAATCTTCCAATACATACAAAACCATACCGAACTATTTCAACACTAGAATATCAATCATGTAACATTTTCATTGCGGAAAAATGTGAAAAGTGAAAAATTGCTCCAATAACTTTAATGGTATAAAAGTTGTCACTCTTTTTCTCACATTTTTGCCCTAGGAAAAAGTTACAATACCCTAGAACAAAAATAAAATTATGCTCTTTTTAAACATATTTAAAAAATTAATTTGAAAAATAACTTATTTTGAAGATTGACAAATAAAAATATTAAGAAGGACAGCAAAATTTTCTTTGCATACGGGCGCCTTATATATCAGTGATAGCTTTGTATAAATTACTTCGACGTTATTAATGAAAAGTAATGACTGCAAAATTATAATTTCTTTAGCACTTTTTACAATAAAAAACTTTTTCTCAAGTTTACTTGTTTATCAAACACAGTAAAGAATATTAAAATGTTAAAAATATAAATACAAAGTTATTCAAAATACAATATTTTTTTGAAGCCGACCGTTAATAAAATCGCATTGAAAAATATCTCTATGACTACAAATATTCAAAAATATAGTTACGATATTTATTATTGATATTGTCGATATAAATACTTATCATATATATATGCGCAACTTTAAATTAATTTTAGCATTTATTTTTATACGTATATAATCAATGTTTCTCTTTATTTTAAGGAATAAACAATAAATCCGTATACACGACAATTGTATAATACATATGCATATATTTACTAAATAAACATGTAACAATCGTCCTTTTCAGCACTTTTAAAGGAGTGGATGTACTCACATTACCAACCTTTATCATTTCAGAAACTTTACACTTTAATTATAGATAACTTTAGTCTTATTAAAAAAAATATAGTTAGATATTTCAGTCTTATTCATAAAAAATAATAAAACAGTGTTTTAAAAAGGAGGTAAAAAATAACAAATTCTCGCCAATAAGCAGACAGTTTTATTAATGAAAAAAATATAACACTCTTTACGTATGTTACATATATAGAAACGTTCAATATATAATATTAACTTACGAAAAAAATCATCAAGCTAACTTAATACACGCCAAATTTTCACGAAACATTTTAATCTAAAAGATTTAATAAAGAATAACATCAATACAAGAACAAAAAGTAAGTAAAATTATAAATTTTACGTACTATTGAATTTTAGGTCGCTTCTCGATGTAAGCTTTAATCTTGGGTAAGGCGCGAATCTTCTTCACTAGCTTCTTCAATTCTGGATGATCCTGGTTCACATCCTTGGTTAAGATAAAGCTTATACGTTCAGAATATGCAGCTCACATGAAATCCGGCCATGACAGCTAAAATAATACACATGTGTCTTTGGACTTTTGCAAAATTAACAAGCTTTAGAGTAAGCTCCAGTATATACACCATCTCGCATCTATTCACCAATCAAAAACTTAATTTATTAAATATTATTTACTATGTTTAAAGTAAACGAACTATGTCAGTAAAAATTTTCTACTGTCTATTACTATGAAAAAAATATTAGAAATCTAAAATATTTATTTTTCGTATTAAAAAATAAATTTTTTGAAACTCTTGCATTTTTGCTATAGGGGTAGGATGGCTAATCATAGGAAAAGAGGAGGTATGTACGGCTCATAAAAAATTTACAAATAATGCATATAAATAAGACGTAAAATAACACAATAATTTATAAAATGAGTTTATAAAGTTTTGTTAAGAAATAAGAATGGTGAATATGTATATAAAGTAAAAATAATAATTACAATCTTCCTACATATATTACAAGTGTTACGACATGAAGTACATATTTCATGTAATATGCTTATTGCATTTAGTACACTGAATTCAATCTGCGCACTTTGTATGCTTTGGGAATAAATCCCGCCCGCTAAAAATGCCGTATATCCCAAAAGCCTATTCTACAATGTACTCTTTGTTTCCTTTTTCTTGCTTTCTGCCTCTTACTTCTTCCCCCTTTGCAACCATTTTATTGACAATTGTATTTTTTGTTACGTATTTCCTGTTTTTCCGAAGTTTGTTAACTTTTATCTCGAGCGACGTAAAATTTAAAACCGGATAAGAAGCAAAAAGACAAAATAGCAACAAGTAAGAAACAGGAAACAAAAAGCACATTGTAGAATAACTAAAAGAGATGGAATATACAAGGCAACAAACTAAACAAAGAATACGAGAGCAAAGCACTTGGATTTTGCTATACAACATGCTTTACTATTACAACATACTTTACTCTACACTTATGCATCACAAAATAACCACTAATGCTCAATTTCTTCACTTCTAGATAAGTTGCGGATAACCTTCTCCAGGAGATTCCCATTGTATTCTGAGAGATATCTCTTGGATAAAGTTATCTAGAGGTAAAGAAATTAAGCATAAGTCTTTTACATGCCCTATAGTAATTATTTTATGTAAATTATAATTTATAATGGCGCTGCTTATTAAAGTGACAATTCAATCCACAATAATTTCATTAATATTAACACTAAAAATCTGAAATCATAACTTAACATTAATATAACATAAAAGCGTGTAACAGAGTAGTTACGGGAAAATTACCACCACTCTTTCTATTTTTTCTAACTTCTGCGATGTAAATCCTAGCGCGGCATATTTGCCGGAGTTACCCTATAGTTTGACATGTAATCGATCATTACTTTGCCATTGATGAAGTATCCACCATTGTTCTTAACTTGAGCTTCGAATTTATCGAGATAAAAAGGCAATTTTTGGAAAGCAATTTCCTTTAACTTTGCTTTAAAAACGGAGTCCTGTTCCCAATAGTATTTGACCATAACTGCGAAAATAAATCTGACAATAAGTTAAAATTCATCGAACAAAGACAAAAATTCATCTGCGCTATGTAATGAACTTGAAATGAGAAAATTACAAAATAAATTTTATAATATAAATCAATATTTAAACAAAGAAACAATTAAAGTTATAGTTGCAATTATCTCAGAATTTCTTCAAAAATATACCATAGAAATAACATACTTGGTTTATGCTTCGGCCATTCTTCCAGAGTGAGTCTAATATCTTTGAATTTAATGCCACAATAACTTAACAAGTATCTGGATGGTTCTCCAACCGCTCCTTCCTTAAAGTATGTTAACTTATACATCGACATGGTCTGAAAATAGTATAGACATAAAAAATAAATTAAAAAAATAAAGATTAGGTTTGTTTTATAACAGAAAACGAGAATATTGAGACCATGGTATAAAACATTGTAAATCACTAAACACAGATGTCGGTATAATATTGACAAATCATGCACAGTAATCACATCAAATATCACATTAGTAACTTCGATTAATACTTTCTCTTTAATAAATTATTGATTAACTTTGAATATTAATTTATAAAAATATAATAAAAAATTTATTTTGCATATTCAATAAATTACAGGCGACATATACAGTAAATGTTCAACACTTTAGATTTATGTATTATCTTTGCAAGTATTATTTTTTATTTGATAATATTTTATGTTTATTTTGTTATAATAATATTTTAACAAATGTCAATTCACAAGCGCATCCGTTTAATCAAAAAATTAATATTATCAGGAAATCATAATTCTACTATTACGTTGCAATCTGCAATTCAATTTCTCACAAATGTTAAATCTCTCAATGTAACACTGAATGTTAAGTTTGCTGAAATATAACTGAACAATAGAGTTATAATAAAATGATACTTCTTATCTAACTATCCACTTAGGGGCATGTAATCTTTTGTAAACAAATATTTCATTATCTGTTAAAAATTATCTAGAGTGAAAAAATGGACTTATATGTAAGCAACAAAGTTTCATTTAAAAAATTTAAAAAAATATATACATTCCTTTTCCGTTTGCAAATTCTGTAAATGCATTTAATTATTCATATATAATATAGTATATGTGTGACACAAATCAGCTATGATATTTTGGTTGTATTATGAGATTTGGACGATGGTTATGGTGTAGCCAGTGCCAATAATTTACTCAACGTATTCAAAAATTAAATCTTTTATTTTCGAATGCGTTATCTTAAACCAGTTCTATATTAGTTGCAAGCCGATCGCAAGTTTGTTGCGATAGCCAATATGAAGTTTATATTTTGAAATCAACGTTTTATATTGGCTGTCGCAACAAACTTGCGATCAGCTTGCAACTAATGTACAGCCAGAGGAGAAATGTCCACTCACCTCTCTTCATTACTTATTCGACTTGATCAGAGAAAACGATTTGTTTTCTCGAATGTTCTTGAAGGTTTCGAATTTCGGTTTAAATTATACGCAATCCGGCGGTTTTCTTTTGTGGGATGCAGCTGTTGCATTTCATTTCTTTAATGAATTATAGTGTGTGCAATATTGCGCTCGACTGTTGCATTGTCGGATTATTTGGTACCTGCTTCGATAAATAGATGCGGTTTATAACGCGTCTCTAATTATTACTCGCTTTTTGTTGCCGTTCATCAGTATATTGTCTGCCTGTCTGTATTGTCCTTTTTTTCCTGCCCTGAGTATCTGAGCATCCTTTGCGCGGACTTAGCTATATTCGATATTTCTCGCGGATTCGTATGTACTCGTATGCTATTCTTTTACATAAGACAAAAAAACTATCTTTTATATTTAAATTGCAGTTGGAATAGTGGCGATAAATTTGCCACAACATATTGTTAGTAGACAGTAATTATCTAATCTATCATTGCATTGATAAACTAATTTTTTATTGAATGTTTTAATAAAATAAAAATAATAATAAATTATTTATAAAATAAATTTTAATTTATAAAATAATTTTTTTATATTATTATTTTTATTTATATTATTGATAGAAAATATTAATAAAAAATGAAATATGTATGTATATTAAAAACCTTACACAGGATGTCGTAAGTATGTTTTAAAATTTTGTGAGCATGTTCTTGAATAAAAAGAAAAAACAAATGTTCTTATGAGCATTAGATTGCAAATGCTCTGTTGTCGAAATAATGGACATAGTAGAATGTAATACTCAAATAAAGATTTTATTTAAAAGTTTCAGGTGGGTATTTTTTTTTGTTTATAAAAAAGGCTTCAAAATGTCCTGTCATCATTTTCCATGTACTAAACACGTTTACATGAATAATGCATTCGCAAACGTCAGCTCTATTATTTTGATAAGAAAGTATTTACATCCTAATATTCACAAAAATATTCATTCTTCCTTTTATTATAAACATATTTAAGAAATTTTAAAATATTATCCTATATAAAAAGATATTCTAAATTTAACTTCAAAGAAACAACGTAATATTTATAAACGCATGATAGTAATAAAAAATCGCAATAATAGTAATAAAAAATCGAATTAATTTGCACTATTTATAAAATAAAATACTATCTGAAACAACTATTACTGAAATCATATGCTATGTGATGATATGCACAATTGATAATTATACATTTTCAAATAGATGAGTAAGAGGAAATTAGAAATATAAGAAGCGAGTAGCACATATTTTTACTGAGTAAACAAGATTTTATTTCATATTTCTTTGGTACGTAATAATATTAAATATTATTAGATTGCGAAAAAAATGAATAAAGCTATTCGGGCGTAATATATATAAGCACGTAATTCTTTTACAAAACGTTTTAAAATAAAGTAGCTAGTGATAAATGATGTCGTGACATGTAACAAGTCAAAGAAATAAATCAATGCTAGAATTATAAATCGTTTTATTAAGTAGTGCAGCGTATATAGCAAACTATTTTATAATTTAGCACAGTCTAGCCATCCGTCCGTTCGATTGTCCGTCTGTAAGATTTCTCAGAAATGATATTTAATTTTTTAGAACTCTGTTTTTGGCAGATACCTGAGGACCTTAATTTCATCAAGATAAAGTATGAATCAAATTAATTAAAGGAGTCAAAGATCGAAGTCCATAAGTCAGTAATACAGATCAAATCAATGGTTTAAATTTTTCAAATTCAGTTTTTGGCAATAGATACTAAGATTTTTAGTTTTACCGAGGTAAAATATGGGTCAAATCAATTAATGTAAGAAAACCAAAATAAATTTGAATAGTTTCTTCCAATAGGTTTTTCGTTGCATTACTTATAATTATTGTAGTTATATTCGTTGCAAAGGGTTTATTTAAAATTCAGTTTTAGGTCGCTTTTCGATGTAAGCTTTAACGTTGGGCAAAGCGCGAACTTTCTCCACGAGTTTTTTCAATTCGGGATGATCTTCATTCGGATCTACAGCCAGAACAGAGCTTAGAATGTCACAATGTCCAGCCCACTGGAAATCTGCCCACGACAACTAAAATAATAAAAAGAAATGTATTTTGTCTCTTTACGAAGACAAATATATTTAACACGAAGATCAATAGCTTAGTAAACAATAGAAAATTATTACTTTGCCACCGACGAGATATCCGCCATTCTTCTTAACTTGTTCTTCAAACTTGTCGCGGGAGAGGTACAATTTTTGGAAAACGATTTCCTTGAGTTTCGCTTTGAAGGTAGGATTTTGTTCCATATAATAATGGCCCATTGCTACAAAAATAAATTTGCCTTTCGATTATTTGTGTTAAAGAAAAAGAAAAAGGCTTTCGTGGTAAACCGCCAGAAAAGCATAATTAAACAGCGTGCGAAAACATTTAAAAAATATATGATTTAAAATAGCTGCTTTATACAGAATATTTTACAGTAACATTAACATTATTCTTGACACTTGTGCAATATGTATGTATCCTTGAATAATTCCGCTGGTGCGGAAGATTCGAAAAGTCAATGTTGGATTATTATATAATAATTGATGATCTGTCATTTTTTCGTATTTACTGATTACCGAAATTTTTACCTTGTCTGATATCATCGATAGAATCGACTACGGCATCAATCTCCATAGCCTCGAAATCATCGGATCCGTATAAATTGCCCTTCTTGGCGATGAATCGTCCAATAGCCTTAGACTGATGATATTGCTTACCATCAATCTCCAGGACCGGCACTTGTCCCATGGGCATGTCTGTATATATAAACATGTTATTAGATTATTATTGAAAATAATATCTGTTTCATGTGCGCGTTTATGCTAAAAATGCGACTAAAAGAACTTACAACTTGTCAATAAATGCGAGAAATTTAGGCTTGCAAAATATAGAAGAATGTGAAAAAAGCCCATTTCTTGCAAAGCATGAATTGGAAATTATTCGTGGGATAGAAATAGAAAATAACAGTTATTTGTACATTAGTTCCGGAGAAAGTATTAAAAATCGAGATTTATTAATAATTGCTGAAATAATCATATAAATTTTTTTAAAGATTTGTATTCTTTAAAATAAAATCAATGGCATATTTATATATATTACGAAAGATGATTTAATTATACCAAATAATTTTTATTTTCTATTCTACCAATAGTTTTAGTAATAATTTATGCTTTGTATTTTTAAGTAAAAAATAGGCTTTTTCGCATCCTCCTTTTATAACACGAATTATTATATAAATGGAATCTAAAATGTTTCAAAAATTGTAGTATATATACAGATAACATACTTGGTTTATACTTTGGCCATTCATCAAAGGTGATTCTGATATCCTCAAATTTGATGTCACAATGATTTAACAAAAACCTAATTGGCTCCCCAATGCCAGTAGCGTTGAGATACATTAATTTATACGTCGGCATATTCTGGAAATTAATAAATATGAAAACAAACAATATATATATATGTATATATAAAGTAAGGTTGCGATTAAAAAGGTCTAAAACGATAGCACACGAAGTCATTTTGTGACGTGACAAGCAGCCGTATGAACGAATCAATTGATGCTTGTGTATAAACAGTTCAGAGCTTGTATGGGGACACATCAATACTTTATCGCGTCACGAAATGACCTTGTGTGCTTCAATATTAGCTTCCATTTTTATTGAGGTCTTTTACAAATAATTGTTGACCATTAACTAAAAAAAAAGATAAATATAATCAAATTCAATCTTTGTTCTTTGATTTTATTATTTAATTAATATTCTTATGATATAACTATATTTTATATTTATTTAAAAATAAACCATTTTTAGAAGTATTAGTTTAGGCAGTATTAAAATAAGCGAACTCGATTATATTTATTTTAGAAGCAGGTTATGAAATAGAGAAGATATAATTTCTCATTACCTAGCAGTTTGTAATCCGACTTGAAAAATCGAGGCTCTAGCAACCGGCACACAGCTAATCGCGGATCAAGAATGACTGGAGTGTTTCGTTGAAACGGTACTGTCTATATATCTAGCCACTTGATGACATAAGTCCTTTTTATAGAAAGAATTATACAGAAATACTAATCTTACTCACACAATCACATGCATACAAAATTATATCTAACTTAGCTAGAATGCATGCACGGAAGGTTGAATTTTAAGCAGAACAATAAATCACTGTAATGTCATAAAAATATTAAAATGAATCGTAAGATTGGTAAGTGATCAAAAAGTGACTTTAATAATCATTTTAGAGTTATTTCGACATTATTTCGACATTATTTTAATGATATAATCTTTTATCTTGCTTGGAATATAATACAAAAAAAAATAAATGTTTTTTATTTTCTCTTAGATTAAAACGCTAATCACAGGATAGTAACGCAAACTATATCGTGGCATTTTTACTTTTTTCATCAAAGACGATTTCTCATCTTTTATCACATCACATTGTATCTTCTTTATCATAATGCATCTTGCAAAAATTTGAAAATGATAAAAAATTAAAATTATTTTGCGCGTTATCTATATAATAAAACATGATGCTATCTCATTATGCCAGGTTTAATTATTTTAATATATATAATTATGAGTGCGCTCTGTTACAAGCATGATGACTATGATTTATCATTTTATCCTTCTTTAATATTCGCTGACAAGGATAAAGTAATGCATTATGCGTATCATGCGTGAAACAAAACGTACTTTGTAAATAGGTTTTTAATTAAAAACAGTATTATTTGCTTTTATTTGCTAATGTAAATGCAGTAGAAATACTGATACTGTCATGATAATCCATATTCCATTATTCATAAATAACGTGTAAAATCGTCTCCTTTTACTGTTATAATCCTTCCGGGATAGTTTGGAATTATTCCAGGATTATAACAGTATTTCTCATATTCTTTAAACAATAATAATTTTTCCTAATTATATTACAGAATATAACGATTAAAAAATTAATCATTATTGCTTTTAATATATCGTTTAATATCGTATAATATCGTATAATAACATAAAGTGATAAAAAAAATATAATTTTGTACTATTTATAATAATATTATTCGATGTTATTTAAATTGTATAATAATATATATAATTTGATAAAATATACGCAATATTTTTGAACAGATAAGCAAGAAAGAATTTTATAAATAGAAGCGACAAGCACGTACACTTTTATGCTGCAAACGAAAAGATTTTATTTCCTTTTCCGCAATAACTTGTTCCGCAATAATATTTAGTTGTTATTAGATTGCAGAGAAATTGATTAAAGCTATTTCGGATGTATGGTAATACATTAGCGCACTATTCTTTTTACAAAACATTTTGAGATAGAAATCATTATTACAAAACGATGGCGTAACAAATCAATGAAAGAGCATGAAGAGTATATGGTGTTACATCGTTTTATTTACAATTGGGTTATGGGTCGCTTCTCAATATAAGCTTTAACGTTGGGCAAAGCACGAACTTTCTCCACCAGTTTTTTCAATTCGGGATGATCCTTATTCGGATCATCTTCCAGAACAAAACTCAGATAATCAAAATATGCAGCCCACAGGAAATCTGCCCACGACAGCTACAACAACAAAAATATATTTTCGTTTGTTTACGATGATAGAGGCAATAAGATCAAATAAATAGCTTGGCACGTAATCGAAATTTATTACCTTGCCACCAACGAAATATCCGCCGTTTTTCTTAACTTGAGCTTCAAATTTGTCGAGATAATAGGGCCATTTTTGAAAGGCAGTCTCTTTGAGTTTCTCTTTAAAAGCAGGATCTTTTTCCCAATAATATTGGGATAACACTACAAAAATAAATTTACTATACGATTTTTGCTTCGCATAGAGATAAAAAGCATATTGTACAATAAATCACCGTGAGAAAAGCGATATTAATTAAACAGCACGCGATAATTATTCAAGAAATATATTGTTAACTTCAAATATCTGCTTTATGCAGATAACACTAAACCTCTATTTGACATATGCACAACATGTGTGCAAGATGTGATTGACTAATCCCATCGGCGCGAAAGACTCGGAAAGTTACAATGTATATGTCTTGTTGATTTAATGATTATATAATTAACAACTTGTCATCCTTTCACATTGGTTAATATTTTTACCTAATCTTATGTCGTCCATAGAATCAATGGTAGCATCAATCTCCATGGCCTCATAATCATCAGACCCATATAAATTGCCCTTCTTGGCGATGAATCGTCCAATGGCCCTGGACTGATGATATTGCTTCCCGTCGATCTCCAGTACTGGCATTTGTCCCATGGGCATGTCTGCAATGTATAAAAATATTATGAGATTGTTGCAAAGCAATATCTGTCCCACGCATATATTAGAAACATAAATGATCGTAAACCAAATGATCGTAGAACAATAAAACTTGACGATAGATGCGAGAAATTCTCTTTGCAAAGTAAATTTTATAACACGAATTAGTGTTTAGAAAGAACAATTAAAATTATAATTGTTTTGTAATCTAAAAATAATAGCATATGAGAGGTAACATACTTGGTTTATGTTTTGGCCAATCATCGAAGGTAAACCTAACATCCTCAAATTTAATGCCACAGTGACTTAACAAGAACCTAATTGATTCTCCAAGGCCGTGAATGTTGAAATACAGTAACTTGTACGGCGACATTTTCTGAAAATTACATAAATGTAAAAATGTATGTACAAAATATTAGAATAAGGTTTGCCTTATTTTCAAACAAGTCTAAACGAACATCATGCCAGTAAATACAAAAATCCATGCGACGTAATAAAATGTTGCGTCTCATCTCGTCTTTAAATTGTCACACAGTTTACGAAAAATTTCGACGGTTTAAACAATTCCGTTTGCAAGAAACTTGATCGATGCATGAACTTAAATCTCGCGTTACACAATTGCATTCGGTACGGTTTATTATTCAAATCTATCGCAACAACTACTGCAGAAATAACTGCCGCAAACTATGTAAGGCGTGGACAGACCACCTGTCATTTAGGGTAAGTATGTTTACCAACGTTGATTTTGAATTTACGCAAAAAAAGATCTTGTTTAAATCTAATTGAATCACCTCGTACTTTAAATACAATATTTAAATCAACATTTTATTATTTATAAGAAGAAGATGGTATTATGATCCATGTAGATATGCACATGGCTCTTCATAATATCTTCGTTATTAGATAGCGAATTCTAATGAGTACTTATAAAATTATTTGTTTAGTAGTCATTACACAGAAATGTTAATACGCCAATACACAGTAGCTAGCATTTACGCATTTTCAATGCATCAAATGCATTTTTATATAACTTTCCAGTTTTTACTTTTGAAATGCAAGGTATATTTTAGCTTGATTATACTTTTTTTTTAAACTCGTGTGCACACGAATATATTATACATACACTTAAGTTCTATTTGTTATTTAATATTTTATTCGGCTGTACTATTTTGAGGTATGCATTAAATAATAACATTTAGCAATGTTGAGGCAATTAGTTAATTAGCCTCCTAAGTGTATTGATAATAAATTTATTATCTTATATAGTATATAATAAAATTTACCTCAAGGTTTTTACGTAATGTTTACCGAAGAATTCGATAAGCGCACAGTTCTGCTACAGATTGATAATTCACGTTATATATTCCGTAAATTTTTAGTACTGATTTAGTACTGACACAGCAAGTTATATTTATAAAAATTTATGTGTACGTATATACATACACATATATCCTGCAATAGGTTTTTTTAAATATATAATTTTGACTAAGCACTGTGTTAAGAAGAATCAATTTTTTTAAATTTATTTTTATAAGGGACCGCACCACCTTTATTCTTTTTTTCAATTTGTTACGCGTCCCCATATTTTTATAAATAATGTCTCAAGTATAATAAATATTTCCTAATTTTGAGTACAAAATCGATTGAATAATACTTTGACAAATATAATCATTAAGTTTTCAATTTAAATATGGATTATTAACAAAGTTATTGTACAAAATGTATATGGGGGCTATAATGCCACCTTCTCTTCTAATATAAGATACTAATTTGAATATTGCATGGGAATAAATTAAATAATCTAACATCGTCCCTGCTCTCGCTATTTAAGGTTTGTTTGCGTCGCATGCTTCAATATACTTCAACATGCTTCCATGATAACACCTACTCATTCTAACGTATATAACGCATATAATGAATCTTCAATTTAAGCCTCCTATGTACAAAGGTAGAAGTCGTTCCGAGATATCGGATGGAGGAAGAATTAACAAAATCACATTTCAACAATTTACTCATTTGAGCAATTCAATTAGTCAATTTTTTCTTTGAGATCTCGAAGCGATTTAATTCTAACATCGTTGATTTTACGCAAATTTAATACATACGTATATGTCGATGAAATGTTCGAAAGAGAAAGTTTTCAAAATGTTGTTATCCATCTGTGTATCATTATAATCGTCATATATTAAACTTATTTTTATATAACTCCGGCAATTATTTTAAGTGTAATCTTGTATAATCAAATTCAGTCTTGGTATTTATAATTACATAATTTAATTTAATCCTTATGACACACACAAAAACACACAACTCTATTTTATATATTTATTTAAAAATAAATCATTTCCGAAAGTATTAATTCAAGTAATATTGAAATAAGCATACTCGCCCTTATTTATTCTAGAAGCAGATTATAAAATTAAGAAGATATAAGTCTCTATTACCTTGTAATCTGTATAAATCGATCTATTGTAGAAATCGAGACTCTGACAGTCGATGCGGACCTGTTCGCGGATCAAGAACGACTGAGCGTTTCGTTGGAATAATATTGTGTAATGTATACCCAGTTACTTGGGAACATATGACCTTGTTCAAAAGGAATTTATAGATCTTGTTCTTTGTCATTGCATTGGGTTACATTAAAATTTTCTATCTCTGCAATTTCACATAACTTCAAATATATGTATGTATCTATTTAATTTTAAGTACAACAAGCGCTTTAATGCAGCCATAAAGAGAGAGAGAGGGAGAGAGGGAGAGAGAGGGAGGGGCAAAAAAAGAGATAGAAAGGCAGAGAGAGAGAG